CCTAAACCCCTAAACCCTAAGCCACGGGCAGCCGAGCATCATGTTCGTCAGCCCGGAGATTGAGTCGATACCTCCATTCCTCAGCTGGAGGAGTCCAGGCTGCGCTTTTCGGTGGGTACGGGTTTAGGGTTTAGGGCCCATAGGCCCCATAGTAGTTCCTTTTTGGGAATCCCTGATAGAATCCGAAATATAAGCCACAAAAAGGGACTACTATGGGGCCTATGGGTACTGTGTTTGGGGTCTGCGGAATTTGATAAGTTGGAGTCTTGCGGCACGTAAGAGAAACAGGTAGTCCCCAGGTAGGCATGAACTGTTCTTGTGCCCCTGGCATGCGGCTCAGTATGTACAGCCCAGCTCTTCGCCATATCCGACATCGTAGCCAACACAAACCCTAAACCCCGAATAGAATACCCAAAGCCTTTCCCTACCCTAGACCCTAAACTAAAACCTAACACCCTAAACCCTGAACTAAACCCCCAACCCATCCCAAACTTTTAAAAGCCCTATACTGAAATCGCAAACTGGTTCTGCTCCGGCCCTGCTGTAGACATAACACAGATAGAGTCGAATGCATCGTGGTGCGTGTTGTCGGTTTAGGGTTTAGGGTTTAGGGTTTAGGGTTTGGGGTTTAGGGTTTAGGGTTTCGTCTGAGCCGGATTTGTTACTGAATTCCGGGGTCTGCTGCTCTAAGGTAGAGGGCAAGCTGTCGGTAGTTAGGGTTTAGGGTTTAGGGTTAAGAGAAGCTGCTCTTGATAGACCATCGATATAATATCGACGGCGACCTCCCACAAGGACGTCACCACGATGAAAACATCCAGCACACTCCACATCCAGTCCTCTGACCAGAAAAACTGCCTTGGCTGGTTTAAGGGTTTAGGGGTTTAGGGTTTGGGGCTTGCAAGATCTCCATCCAGAGGTTCTGAGTTCACAGGGATTAAGGCTTTATTGGACCGCTTCGCCTCTAAACTCAAAGCGATCTGAAGAATCGACATGAAGTTCTCAACCCTAAACCCGAACCCCCTGAACCCAAAACCCGTAAACCCAAAATACTCAAACCCTAAACCCATAACCCCAAGCACGGACACCCAACAACTACAGCCCCTAAAAATCAAAATAGCCTCTAGTCCTCCCCAACCACAATAACTTTGAGATGCAGCCATGCTCAGTTCACCACTCGCGTGGTGTGGTTGGTAGACCCACAACCCGAGAAAAACAAGCAACTACACCCACAATCCCCGATCAGCCCTAAACCCTCAACTGAAAACTAAAAGCCAACTTTGAACTGTATGCCCAAATCCCAGTGACGCTTAGACGCCGGGGCCCACAAGCACCCCCCCCCCCCGCTGTGACAAACATGGGGACCAGAATTCTTCACACCCCAAACGGAAGCCAAACCCTGTAATATAGGGGCCTTAATAATCAGAACAGGGTTTTTGGGGGCTCCTTATTGTAATTATAGCATAAAATACCCCCAAACCCTATTCTAATTATTAAGGCCCTTACATTAGACCCTGAACCCCCAACCTGAAACCCTAAACGCTGAACCTTCAGCCTTATGCCCTCAAAATCCCTACAACCACACAAACCCTAAACCCAAAACCCTAAACCATAAGGCTTTATGGCCTAGGGTAGAGGCCCAATACCTTTAAATCCTAGGTTTAGCTGAGGGTGTAGAGGCCTGCGAGGCTTAGCGTTTCACGACTCTTTGGGATGAGCCGGATCTTGGGTTTCGAGTTTCGGGGGTTGTGGCTGAAAGGGTTTAGGATGACAGGCTTAGGGCCTTTAGGGTTTAGGGGGCTTAGGGTGGGGACCCGATTCATCAGAACAGGGTTTTGGGGGGTTTTGGGTTAGGGTTTAGGGTTTAGAGTTTAGGGTTTAGGGTTTAGGGTTTAGGGGCTTCAGTGGGATATGAAACTCGGAGAACGGAGGTTCAGAATCTATGGTATGAGGCTTCTTCAGGACGTGCAGGTGCAGGGGCTTGTGGGTTTTGGTTGGAGGAATTTAGGGCTATACTTTCAATTGCTCACAAACATGTCCGTTGCGTTGGAGTCCGATTCTGTTGTTTATGCGAAGACTGTCTACCAGAAGCCCCAAATCCTTTACCGTTGAGGCCGTGTTGGGATTCCCTCCCATCTGTCTGACACGACCATATCTCGACAAGCTACCATCTCAAAGCCACCACACGTACCATGAGCTCGCCACAGAAAAGCACCGTGTAGGTGTACTGGACCACCTGTTTGTGAGCAGCAACCCTGAAAAAACCCTAAACCCTGAAACCCCGAGCCCCGTGACTTGTGAACTTCACTTCTAGGATTTGCGTCCACAACTTCACCCTGGCTCAGCCAAAAATCGAGCTGACATCCACTTCGTAGTGTCTTCTACTCGCAGTGTCTCGACATCCTAAACCCTTGCCTTGTCTACAAAAACCCCGCACTTCTTGTCCAGTTGTGTGTCTTTCTGACGCGGGAAGAGCGGCAAGAAAGCAAGGAGGCTACACACAGCAGTTGGCATGCCTTGCCGATAAACAACCGCCCTTCCTCCCGAAGCATGTTAAGCATAGTTTGAGTGCTTGTATCGCAAAAAACACCCTAAACCCTAAACC